AGGAAGGAAGGAAGGAAGGAAGGAAGGAAGGAAAGAAAACTCATGAAGTCACCAGCAGGCATGAAAACCATGCACTTTTTGTGAAGTAACCTTTTTATCTCGTATTGAAAATGCAACTTTTATACGGGTGCAGGATTGCTATAAGAAAGGCACACTTATAGACCCTAAGATGATTCAAGAAAAAGTGAAGTCATTATATGACAACTTGAAGCAAAAGGAAAGTGAAGGGTCTAAATTTGGAGAAATTAATGCCAATAAAGGATGATAATTTTAGGAAAAGGCTTGGCTTATTTAAATATTGTCAATGTAACAGGAGAAGCAGCTTTTGCCAACCAAGAGGCAACAGACATTCCCAGATGCCATTAACAAATAACAGAGAAAAAGAATATCAGCCTAAACAAGTTTTTATTGCAGATGAAAGTGTCTTATTCTGGGGAAAAAAAAATGCCACAAAGGACATTTATGAGTAAGGAAGAGAGCAAGGACTGGCATTTGAGGCAGGAAGGGATAGGCTAAGTCTACTGTTTTGCACAAATGCAGTCAGGTTTATGATCAGGACTGCCCTTATATATAAAGCTGCTAACCTCCAAGCCTTAAAGGAAGAAGATAAACACCAGCTCAGTCCAAGGAGAACACTTTTTCTGGATTGGTTCCCTCGATGCTTTGTTCCTGAAGTCAGGAAGTACTTTGCAAGTAGGGACTGCCTTTTAAAATTCCTTTGATATTGAACAATTACCCTGGACACCCAGAATCCTATAAGTTCAACACTGAAAGCATCAAAGTGAGCTAGTTCCCCCCAAACACTATGTCTCTAATTCAACCTCAGATCAGGGGTCATAAGGACCTTTAAGGCTCATTACACATAGTACTCTATAGAAAGGATTGTAGATGCTGTGGAAGAGAACCCTGATAGAACATCTTAAAATTCTTGATGGATTACACCACTGAAGATGTCATCAGTGTTACAGAAAAAGCCATGAAAGCCACCAAGCCCAAAACAATAAATAGTTGCAGAAAATTGTGTCCAGATGTTATGCATGACTTCACAGGATTCATCAAGAGTCAATCAAGGAAATCATGAAAGAGATTGTGGATATGGCCAAAAAAAAAAAGATAGAAAGGTGAAGGATTTCAGCATATGGACTTGGAAAAATTCAAGAGAAAACAGACAATTAACAGAAGATGACTAGATGGAGATGAGCGCTTCCAAACCAATACCAAACGAGAAGGAAGGAGACGTGGATGAAGCAGTGACAGAAAACAAATTGGCATTAGACCATCTGGCAGAAGGGCTCCATTTATTCAAGACTGCTTTGGTTTCTTTGATGACATGGACCTATGTCATCTATGATGTGGGCACTGAAACTAAAGCAAACAGTGGTAAAAGGATTGGTACTACGTAGAAACATTTTTAGAGAAATGAAAAAGCAAAAAATCAGACATAAATAGTGGATAATATCCATTCTGATAGGTGAGAGGTGATAACTCATTGTGGTTTTGGTTTGCATTTCCCTGATGATTAGTGATGTTGAGCTTTTTTTCACATGTCTGATGGCCATCTTTATTTAGTTAGATATTTGTTTTTATCTGGAAAAATGCATATCCAGTTCTTCCACCCATTTTTAATCAAATTGCTTGGTTTTTTGACATTAAGTTATATGAGTTCTTTATTCTTCTAGATGTTAGCACCTTATTGGATACATGATTTGCAAATGTCTTCTCCCATTCAGTAGGTTGCCTTTTTGTTTTGTTGCTGGTTTCCTTCCCTGTGCAAAAGCTCTTTAATTTGCTATAGTTCCATTTATTTTTCTTTATTTTCCCCTTTTGCTGTCCTTGCCTGAGGAGTCAGATCCAAAGAATATTGCTAAGATCTAAGTCAAAGATCTGACTGCTTATGCTTTCTTCTAGGAGTTATGTGATTTCAGGTCTTACATTCTTACATTTAACTGTTTAATTCATTTTGAATTTATTTTTGTATATGCTGTAAAATAGTGGTCCAATTCATTCTTTCATATACAGCTGTCAGACAGTGGTCCAGTTTTCACAGCACCATTTGTTGAGGATGTTCTCTTTTTCCCATTATATATTCTTGCTTCCTTTGTCATAGGTTAATTGACTCTATGAGCATGGATTTATTTTTCAGCTTTCCATTCTGGTCCATTGATCTGTGTCTGTTTTTGTGTCAGTATCATTTTGATGTCATATTTTACATCTTTTTCTTTTGTGTATCCTTAACTAATTATTTCACATGTAGATGATTTTACTACGTTTGTCTTTTAACCTTCACACTTGCTGCAGGTGGTTGATTCACTGCCTTTACTTTATGTTTGCATTAACCAGTGAGATTTTTTTCTTTCATAACTTTTTGCTTGTAGTTGTAACCTTTTCTTTTCCATTGAAAGAAGTCCCTTTAACATTCCTTGTGGGGCCAATTTCGTGGTGATAAATCTCTTTTACATTTGTCTGGGAAACTCTTTTCTATCCTCCACTTATGAATAC